AGAGAAATCTTGAATTCCTAGGAAAAAGCTTGGTATTTGGAATGAGACATGTTCTAGAACAGTCTGGGTCTCTGTAACGTGTCCTGTCCCTCTCTGGAGGTGCTGTTGGCCATTCAGATGTCAATCATGCACTGCCTCCATCTGAGGTGGTACTGAAATAGCAGTGTTAGCGCAAACACTTCCAGGAGGTATAAACTACCCCATAGGTCACTTGTCCCACCCTTTGTGCAGCAAGTGTTTTACACAGCTGCAGTTTCTCATAAACAGAGAATCAATCTATAGTTACAATCTTGATTGCCCAGCAAACTGCTGAATGCCCGAGGAAGCAGGAGGAGAATGTGCAGCTGCAGGCTGTGTGGGTTTTTCATTCTGGTTTACAGTGAGGACTGGAGTTGATCCTTTAAGATGTCTTGGGATCCTGGCACCATTTGTTGCAGCACTGGATGTGTAGAATCTGCATTCTGTGCTGGGGGCCACCCCTGGCATTCTAGTGGGAGTTAAATAAGCTGCTGTTTGCTTCAGGTGCTTTAGATAATATGGCAAAGACCTGCCATGCAGCCAGAGGCAGACCCAGACACTATGAAGTAAGCAGGATGGCATGACTACGTTTTTGTTGAAGGAGTGAAGGTACATGCTTCAGTTACAGACTATTAAATTGCCCATTTTCCCTCCCTCTCCCACCTCTCCCTCCCATCTCCTGTGGTCAGTGCATATGACTGTAAGTTTGGTGTCAGAGACCTTTGACTTTTCTCCAGCTGCAGATCTGCTCAGCTCCATGTGATGCAGCAATCACAGGGGTTTTCAGCTTTTGTTTCTACCATCTACAAAACATGAAAAAACGGGGCTCATAAATGGGAACCTCATGAAACTAGAGCACAGTTACTTACATAAGTGAACTGAAAACCTACAGCAAGATCTGTTGGATATCTGACCTGGTCATCTGTCTAAACAGGATGTTTACTTACATACCCCAATGTGGTGATTGTGCTGTTCAGTTTTCCATACAGCAAAAAAACCTGAAAGAGGCTTTTGATTATGGTTTCTTACTGTCGTGCCAAAACCAGGTGGCCTTCGAGCTACTCCATTATTACTTTTCTCTAATTAAGAATTGGTAATTCAAACTTTGGCATGTGGGACATGCACACGAAGAGCCCAACTACAAGATTGCACACACCAAAGCATTGGCTTGTCTATGCAAGTGTTTGTGAGTAGGTGACTCCCTTGGTTGACTGGCAGAGGTAATACCCTAACACATGTGAGAGAAGTTGGAAGGATAGTGGTCCCTATGTTTTTGGATCTCAACCTCCAGTTTGGTGTCTCTAGCTAGATGCTTGTCTTCCTATTTTCTGGTGACTGTAAGCAGCACTTTTAGGTGGAAAATACATTTGCTTCCAAGTCTCAAAGATACTGATCAAAGGTAAAATCTCATAAAAAAGGGTTTTAAAAAAAGTTGGAAAAGTTTAAGCATCTAATACTGTAATTAGGGCTGAGGGGTGTAAAAAAAATTAGTTTAGCACATCACTGGACAGATGGGAAGTCATTAATGTAAATTTAGGGAACTAGTAGTTGGATTCAGTTGGTCTAATTTAAACACAATTTCTAATTATTTTTGGTATGCATATAGAGGATTATAGGATGGCCATTATTCTGACAGGAGGGCTCTTCATACCTAAATTTTAATCCACAAATGAGTACCCTATTAAAATGTAAGCATGTGGTGATAACTAGCACCTAGTTGCGCAGGCGGGTTGGTCTAGCTACTCTGATGAGCAGCTGTGTGCATGTGTTTTTTTTCTTACATCCAGGGCCACTGAGAGGTCAGCAGGTGTCTGACCCATGGGTGGGAGCTGTGCAAGAAGGTTTGCTGATTCTGGGTGCAGATCTGAGAGCAGATGGGATCTCTCAGGTTTCCCCTCAAAGCAGGCTCTGATGGTACCCAAAAGCACAGAGAGAAGATGAAACAATTAACAGTTCCCTCTCCCTACAGTCTGGTGCTGCTAATCCAAGTTAAAACTCCTAACAGCATCTTTAGAGAACCTTCCTCTTTATATCTTGACAGCTTTCTCCTTTTGCCAAAAGAAAGATCATGCAGGTTTTCTGGGGAGCTGCCAAATGACAGCTTGACTTCACACCTGAAAAGCAAATGAATGAAGAGAGAAGGCAGCTTCAGCCTGCCTGCAGCTTGGCATAGAAATGAAGAGTGGTGGGAGCATTGGCATGAGCAGCCCCTGGAGCTGCAGCAGCAGCAGATGTGATGAGCAGAGCTCAAGCTAAAGGTACTGTGGAGGAGGAAGCATGGGGCCCATCACCAAAGGGCAAAGGTTTTACTCATCAGCTGCAAGTCTGAGGGTGAGGCCTGGCCATTGCTGATTCTTGGAGATGTGGGACAAGAACGCAGCTCCACACCCGCAGCAGCCTTGAGTTGATTTGGTTGGCTTTTCTTCCCTGTGCCCTTGCAGTGAAGGCTCTCTGATTAGCTCTCTCAAAAGGCACATTAATGGCCAGCAGGGGAGCCGACAATCAGGATTTATTATTTAATTAGTGCACAATCAGTAATTCTGGATGTATAGCTCATGGCTTATAAACTTTGGGGGTACAGGGCACCAAGAGCAAGCCTGGATGACACTTCTTTAGTCCTTGTTTTAGGGCAGGGAGTGCCAGCATCTGCTGTGGAGAGATGCAGGCAACCTGACACCATGCTAGCACAGCGTGCTGGAGCGTGGGTACTGGGTGATAGGGTACTTGTGCTCTTGAGCAGTCACCCCTCCCTTCCACGCACATGCCATGGCAGGGGGTCTTTAGCAGGGTGTTTTGCGATTCTCAAATTCAACTGCCTGTAGAAAAATCATAGCACGCAGTCAAGTAGCTGAAGTTGTGAATTTTAGGCCATATTTAAAACTGGGAGAAAAATGGTTTACATATGAGGGTTTTTAAAGCAGTATAATGAACACTGTGCCTGACTCATCCTACACATGGGAGAACTAAGCGAGATAAGAGGAAATATCTCCAGGCAGACACTCCTCAGGACAGGGATTTCTATCTCATTTTTCTTTTAAAGGAAGAAACTTAAAAAAGACTGGCCCAAAGATGAAATGTTTATTGCATGACCCCAGGAGCTGTTTACAATCTGCTTCTAATTCTAGAAGTCACCTGGCACCCAGGCCTATCTAGCTGGGTGCCTTTGCAACAGCTTTCAAGGCACGAGAACAACTGTTTCTAAAGTACCAGGTTGGTGTACAAGGACTGCAGCACTGGATCTTCTCTAGCTGGTGACTACCACAGAATTGTCTGTAACAGAGAGGCTGAGAAAATATCAGACTGTTGTATCAGAGTATGTAAGGGATGTCCAATCATGCAGGGCTGCACTACAGAGGCAGCAGAAGCTCTGGAGCCTCATGGGAACATGAGGCAAGTAATCACAGCTGCAATTCATTTGAAAGAGACAAATGAGCTCCCCTAGAGAAAGCTGGGACACTTCTGCTGAGAGGGCTGATTGCCTTTTCTTTTTCCTGGGGGAGGGGAAAGGCTACTTTTGGGTTCAGGTGAAGGAATTCTGTGGGAAAGCCTTCCACATTCCTCTAAGGGTGGGCATTTTCATCACAGCTGTAGAGATACTGAGTGACTTGCCTGGGACATAAAGGAAGTCAGTGTTAAAGCCAAGAACTGACCAAACAGACCTCCTAACTCATGGCTTCAGTGTTGTGCTTCAGCCACGGGGCTGTCCTTCCTCTGTTTCTGCTGACCCTTCATTAATAAGCTTTTCTGTTAAAGCTGAAAAGCTGACTACTTGGCAGCCGAGAATTTACCCTTCCTCTTGCCCCTGTACAATAGCAGCTTTTCAGGCCGAATCTGCACAAAAGAAACATTTTGTTCTTCCTCTGCTCATCAGAAGAGCTGAGCAGCAGCTATACTGAAAGCATGAGGGTCTGATCCTAGCTCACATTGTATTGAAGACAATGCTTCCAGAGGTATCAATATATGTGGCGTTAGACTGATGCGCTGGGAAGAGTGCTGCTAGCAAGCTGCCACTGAGTAAATTAGTGCAAAAAAAAGAAAAAAAAGCCAGGCCTTCTTAAAATGAAAGTACATGTTGTTATTCAGTGTTGGCACTTCAGACTAATGCTGTGGCTGGAGCCGGCTCCAGTACCAGGGGACACCCCTGGGGCAACAACTCAGGGTGACACTGCTGCCTCTGGAGTGAGGTCCAGTCACCGGAGGGGTGGAACACCTATCAGGAAAGGCTGAGAGAGTTGCGGTTGTTCAACCTAGGAAGACTGGGGACACTTTTATTGTGGCCTTCCAGTTCCTAAAAGGGACCTGTAAGAAAGATGGGAGAGACTTTTTAGGAGGATTTGTGACAGGTTGAGTGGTGATGGTTTCAAACAAAAAAAGGCTGGACATGAGGAAGAAATTCTTTACAATGAGGCTGGTAAAACCCTGGCACAGGTTGCCTGGAGAAGTGGTGGATGCCCCATCCCTGGAGACATTCAAGGCCAGGCTGGATGTGGTTCTGGGCAACCTGGTCTAGCTGAGGATGCTCACTGCAGGGGGACTGCGCTAAGTGACCTCTGAAGGCCCCTTCCAACCCAAACTACTCAATGATTCTGTAGTTCCGGGGACTGGGCCGAGCCCCCCACTTGATGTTAAAAGCAAAACAGCCCCCTGAGAAAACTGCACAACAAGGCAGGGATCGCTCCTGCTTTGTACAAGCCGCTCGAGGTGAAAGAGAACCGCCCTTCCCCACGCTACAGCCGATCCGCCACCGGGCGCCCCCAGTTATCCCCCGCGTCCCCCCGCCGCGCCGGAAGTGGGCGCTCTGGGGGACGGAGGGGAAGGGGGGTGAGGTGTGGGGGGGTGTGTGTGTGTTCGGTGGGAGGCGGGCGCATGCGCAAGAGGTGTCTCCCGGCCGCGTCCCGCCCACCGCCGCGGTGGGGGTCTGGCGCGCGCGCGCGCGCTACCTGCCCGCGGCGCGAGGCCGGGCCCGGGTGGCGACTAACGCTGTGGGGTGGGAGCGGGGAGAGGGCACAGCGCGGAGCGAAGGGAGGCGAGGAGGACGGGCAGAGAGACGGACGGACCGGGTGAGAGGATGTGAAGATGGCGGAGCTGCAGATGCTGCTGGAGGAAGAGATCCCGGGGGGGCGCCGGGCCCTGTTCGACAGCTACACGAACCTGGAGCGGGTGGCCGAGTACTGCGAGACCAACTACATCCAGGTGCGGCGGGCGGGGCGGGGCGGGGCGCGCGCGGCATAACGGTCGCCGTCCGCGCCTAACGGTCACCGGTGCTGAGGTGGCCCTGGTTGGCGAGGCGGTGCTCATGGGGCAGCCCCACGAGGGATGGGCAGGGTCGTGTCCTCCTGTCTGCCCCCGTGTTTGTGGTGGGGCCGACTCCGGGGTCGGCGGGCGGGTGGGGGGGGGGAGCGGAGTCGTGCCACCCCTGTCCCCTTGGCGGTGGGAGGGCGAAGGGCGGGTGGCACTGACTGCTGCAGCGTGGAGACTGGAGAGCTGGTTCACCTCCAGCATGAACTACCCCAGCGTGACGAGGCGTTTAGATATGTAATTGATTTCTAAATTCCTTCCACTTTGTGAGCGTGTTGAATATTTATTTCGGATGGTGTCGTCTGTGTTGCTCCTTTTTCGTTCCCATCCCACCTTCTGCACTCCTTTGCTGGCAGCACAGAGATGATGTGATAAACTGAGGAGATGCTGGTCTCGTGTAAATACAGCTTTTTTGCTTGTTAATTTAGACCACAATGCCATGTGTTTTAATTGAGATATACCTGTCAGTTTATATTTCCTTTCCCAAGCAGGGTTGCAGTATTTGATAGGAAGGGCAGCTACCAAGTGGTAGGCGCAGGATGAAAGCATGATGTAGTAGAGATGATACAGAATTACGGAGAAGGAGATCAAACCCAAGTTGCAACCGCAGCGGGTGATTTGTGTTCTGACCACTCTGAAGCCAGGCTGATGTTAGGACTTTGGGTTTTTTCTTTCTTTCTTTCTCTTTTTACTAGGAAGAGAAACAAAATATTGTCAGTTTATGTTCATAGCAATTGTAGGGCCAAATGAAAGAGTTCCGTCCAAAACATGACCCCCTAAGAAGGGTCTGAATGTGTAGGAAAGAGAAGAGAGGGACATGGGTTTGTGGTGTCTTGTGTGGAGGGAAGATACAAAGGGCCCCAGTCTTGTTTTTGCTTTCAGTCTCCTAAGTGGAAAATGCTTGTGTTTCCAGAAGGCAAGTAGGAATGAGTTCTGTGATGAGGTTATTATGTCAGTGAAGATGGGAGAGACTGTTGAACCAGTGACAGAATATTTAAAATGCCCCTGTAAAAACAGCTCTGTTTCTTCTGAATTGTTTGATGACCAAATGCCCTCTAGAGAGAAGACTTTGCATATTTTGGGTCATTACAAAACATGTCAATTACAGTGAAATTAGAGATGTGTCTTATTATGTAATAACTTGTCCTGTGTTAAAGTACTGTGGCTTATGTTCTTGAAGAGAAATATATTGAAATGCTTTCTTGCAGCCATAACTTGGTATACATGTATTTAGATTTATGCTTTTATGAAAACTGGGAAACTTGATTTTTTTCTGAAATAGGGAAGAGGAGTCCTGGAAGGCAGAACCAAATAGGCAGAAGTAGAAGAAGTTTGAATTGGGTTTTTTTTTTTTTTGGTCCTTTTTCTGACCATTTTTCCTTTTCTTTGTATAAACCAAAGTTTATAAAATCAGTGTTGAACAGCTTGCTTTTATTGTTTTAATTAAAACTACAGAGGAGGACTCCATGCACTTTTGTACAAATAGAGAATGAAAAAAGGTGGTTATTGCCGCAGACAGCATACAGTCTGTAAGGACCATCAAATATAATAGGAGATGGATACAGATGGTGAGTGAACGAAAAGAATGAGGCACTCTTGGTCAGCCTGATGGATTCTGGCCACTTCACAGCAATTCCCTGACTGTTGGCAATTTATCCGATCATTGTGACAACAGAGAGCTTTAAGGGGGAGGTGAGAATGAAAGAACAAAACTGTATTGTGAGTGTTGACTGCAAGGTGCAGTATGGGTCACAGCATGGACATGTTTAAATTTTAAATAAGTGATGAATGAAGGACACCAGCAAGGCGATAGGCTTCAGTCTTTGGAGTTGGCTGAGACACCACAGAGTGGGATTTTTGTACTGAAGAGGTCCAGCATGAGGGGATTCTGGATTTAGTGATGCGAGTGTCCCAGCAGCAAATCTGTCGGTGAACCCACCTCACCTTAATGGTGCCAGAGCTGCATAAACTCTTGCACAGGATCTGTATACAAAGCTGTATATGGGAATATAGCTATTCATTAGTTGGATACTGGTTAATTTTAATTATAATAATGGTTATAATCCCAAAGCTTTTATGTCCAATTAAATCCAAATTACATTCAAAATGGTAGCCTTGGATTTTATGGTGAAGACGGGCATGTGATTTCTTAGAAGCTTGTGGAAGAGTAATTTGTCCAAGGAGGTTGTGAATGCTTCATCCCTGGCGGTGTTCAAGGCCAGGTTGGACGAGGCCTTGGGTAATATGGTTTACAGCGAGGTGTCCCTGCCCATGGCAGGGGGGTTGGAACTTGATGATCTTAAGGTCCTTTCCAGCCCTAAGTATTCTATGATTCTATGATTCTGTGATTGTCCAGAAAGTAATGTAGTGAAGATGGGATAATTCTACTGTAATCCTTTAGTGTTTTGTTGTTGATGGGAAGTATTGTTGTGGTTATTCTTAAGATCTCCTGGAGGCTCAGAAAGTGACAGAGACCTGAATGTAATCTGCAGAATGGTAGGCAGTGTGGTGATGGGACCATTGATGTAGGTGGACACTGGCCTGTATTTGTCTGTAAACAAACCGCTCCCTTTTCTGTGTCGGTGCTTTCAGATTTTTTTGGCAAGTACAAAAATGGTTGCAAAAGTCAGTGGAGGCATAGGTCAGTTGAAGTTCAGTGCTAAGGTGAATGTATTTTTCTCTTCCTTCCTCCCCTTAGCAATATCATAGCAGCTTCAAAATAATCAAACCTGATCTCTTATATGTGGAAGTTGCTCGTAGTTCATAGTAGTAGAAGTTGTGGCAACTGCAACTCATTTGACTTCTGCTTAAGAAGTGGAAAATCGGTTCTTTAAACTTTTGGCAGTGTTTATGCAAATTATAGTTGATACTTAGCTCAATTACTGTAGCAACAGGGAATGTTACATAAATTGTTATCCTTCCCTTGAGTCTGTGATACAGTAAGTGTATCAGAGTACATCAGCTTAAAATTTTGTGGAAAATTGTAGGAAATACAGCAAATATTCAATAAATGATCCCACAGCAATGAAAGTAAAAAAGCTACTGTTTGGAGAAAAAAAAGGTTTTTCATTAATTTCTCTTTATCAGTGGTCGTTCTTTTTAAATTTTCCCACTGGGTAAGTCGGTTTCTCAGCCATCTTGTCAATCAGTTACATAGTAAGGTGATGTGCTTTTCAAGAAATACTATTCCATTAAATAGCAAAATAAATGGATAGGAGAAAATGTAAGAATAAATTTGAATACCATAGCAATTAGTTTAGTAATTTTTTTGATTATGATTCTACTTGATATAAAATTGCAGTTTTTAAGCATAATGTGTAAGTTGCTCACTTTAATCTGCTTCTTTTACTACAGAAATCAAGTAACTTTTCTTGCCCAAAAGGGCTTCTTCTTCAATAAATTGGAGAAATCATGGAGTTATTCCTATGTCATACTTCAGCTTCTCTAAAGAGGAAGATAAGTGTTTTTATTTAGGAGGATGTTTTTGTGGTATCTGACACAATGTCAGTCATGGGTTAAATTTTATTCTGCCCGTTCAATGCTCTATGTCCTAGTGCTGTGTTCTCTGTTACCAAATTCAGTCACAGTCTAAACTCTGCAACAGAGTAATTCTCTGGAATATATTATCTGATATATCTGATACTATAAGAAAACATACTTGCAGTCTGCATTAATGTATCTGGGTATTTCATAAAAAGCAGAGAACTAGTTATGCTGGACAATGCGCTGTGTTTACAAAGTTTTCATATTCCTGCATTGTTTTTGTTCATGAGTATCCTGAAGAAAATTTTAACTTATGATGTTGTAACAAGACCAGGCAATTATGCACACTACTGGTATACTAACATAAATTCCAAACATTGTCTTGACCTGTCCGGTTTCTTCGAGGCTGTCCTGTGTAAGTCTGTTCTAGAATAATGTTTTGTTTGCTCCTCGTGATCCTCACTTTTTAAAAAAATCAGCTTGTCATTTTGTGCAGTGCATGGAGTTTTCTAGGATAACTGAATGCTTGTGTCTGTTAACTCTTTGTTAAAAACACCAGAAAAAATTACCAGATGGAGGCATTTCAGCCAGGAAGTATCTAGCAGGAACAGATTCGGGTGAGGGAAGTCCTGTCACCAAAGTTAGTGTGCAGAATTGAGTAAAAGGCCAATCCTCTGTGCCTTGCTCAGCTTTCAGAAGGGGTGTAGGATTTCCATGTGCTGTGTTATCCAGATTCTTCTAAAAGAATTTCTTAGCTCTAGCTTTTCAAGATTATTATGCTTTACTTGTCAGCTCTAGAAACTGAAATGGGAGAGTGAGCTTCTGATTTTCCTCTCTTCATAGTCTTCAGGTTGTCATGACTGTATTGCTTTTTATACACAGAAACAGCCTTCTGTTGTTTGTGAGGGGAAGGATGGGAATGGATTTTTATTGTTGCTCTTAATATTCCATCCTTCTGGTTATTAGAAGTACCTGCTTTCAGCTACTGCAGATAGCTTTATTTTAAACAGACGTAGAGGTGAAAACTACTTGTTTCTTAGTAATTTTGCTACAGTCCGTAGATTGATGAGTTTCATAGTTGTTTTCCATATATCTGTTAATTTTACTTGACCAAGTAGCTGTAGATTTGGAAGCATCTTCCAGTAGGTTGAACAAGAGAATAAGGTTGAGTAAGAGAAGAATGCTAGAATTAGCATACCGGTTTTAAATTGCAGAAATGGCAGTCCTTTATAAATAGTAACTTGGTAGTTAGATCTTTAGTAATAATCTCTATTCTCTTCTCTGAAGACGGGTATCACCTTAACAAAGGCAACTCAGATTTGTAAAATATATTTAACCATCAGAAATGTGAGTATCAGAGAAGAGTTATTTTCAACCTTTCTGCTCCTTAAGCTTGTTCCCGCCCTCCATTC